AGTTCATTCTCCGTGTTTTCCCGATAAGTTGATGCAAATGCGACACTTTTTTTTTTGTCATTGTGAAGCGTTATCTGACTGTTCTGTACCTCAATTTATCAACATTAATACTTCATGTCGCCACTTTTAGTTAATGAAACGTGTTAAATTGCTAGTTGTGTTTTAACTGCAGCTGCTCTGCAACATGACGGTTTAAACGAGTCTATTTCTAATTCAACGTTTTAAAATATCTATTACTGCTTACATTTTGAAAGGTGGTCTTTTTTAAATTTATGGTAATTCCAGTTACTGAACTCAACTAGAAAATATTTGGTCTTTTTTCCTGAGAGATTCGTTCAACCTTTATTTCTACAGGTAAATCCCATTGAGCCTCGAGGACTCATTTACAAGAGAGACCTGATTTAACAAAGAATGATGACAACATGACAAGACTGATGTAATTTAGTTCAAGTTATAGATAATTTGTCAAAGACTGCAGCATAAATTGTGACATTATCATTAAAGAAAAACGTGATTGTGGAGATGAGTCAATGTTTTCATGTTTTCCAGGTAAACCACAGAATGACTTCATGAACTGAATGTTGCATTCAAAGTATCACAAAGGTACAAGATCTCATTTTCTGTCTTCTATTAATCAATAACAGCTGAATCAAGATGTTTGAATAAAATTACTTTAACACCATAACCTTCACAAAGTTGGTATTTACTGCAGGACTGTTCATTTACAGTTGTTTTATATTATTAGTTTAGTGTTTGGTAATCATGGGTCAAGTTGAGATGAGACTCTTTCAAGACAGAACAAGAAATAAGAATTATTACAAGAATATATCAGCATCAATAAACTGTAGGACAGTAACAAAACAACTTATTAAACTATCACAGGTACATTGAGATGGAGCTGGAAGTTATTCTTCATGCAAGTTGACTTCATCCGATCTTTTGTAAAAATATGTCAATTTATTTTCCATTAACATTTTTCTTCTCAGGACTGAGATAATTTTCTTGTCTGTGAGTTTCTTCTGTCCTGCTTATGTATGTTTTTGTGTTCTAATTGTTCCCTCAGGTTTTTCATCTCTGTTCCCTGACTGCCTGTTGATCCATCCTCCTGGCCCTGTTGATCCTGGATCATCAGATCCTGACATGTCCCCGTCCTCTGAGGACACATTTTCATCTGTCCCTCATCTCACTCGCCTCATTTCTGTTTCTTCCTCAGTCTCTGAAATTATAACGTCACTGTTAGAATGAAGATTATTGTTCAATAAAAATATGACATGTCTTATTTAACACTGTTCGTACCAAAGTTTAATTTAGAACAACATGTGTGATCACTGGTCAGATCACTGGTCAGTGGAAGTTCTGCTGTTCTTCTCATCTGGTTCTGGTCCATGAACAAATGGTTGAACCTCCTTCTGTCTCACTCGTCCTCACTGTGTCTCTGTGAACTGTCCTCTCTCTAAATGTGTCTGTAGAGTGACATTAGTTTATTTTCTTGCACATTTCTTTGACAGTTAAACATTTTGAGCTCTGATTGAAAATGTTTGTGCAGATTAAATTTACAGCTCTCACTTTGTGTTGTTGTGATGATGATGATGATGGTGCTCCTGCTGACTTCAGATGATGTCATTAATAAACAGTATAAATGTCAGTAAAAGTACTTTATTAAAGCTTGCTTTACATTTTACATATTTTATAATAAATTGTTTGGAAATTTATTTTTGCACAGTTAACACTTATTTTGTCGTCTGTTATGATTTTAACTAGAAACAGTTTTATTTAAATTAACATTTTAATCAATGAATTACAATTTTACAATAGTTGTCAGGCTACAATCAACTCAGTTATCAGGTACTTGGTTGCCATAAAAAAACGACAAATACAACAATTATATTCAGTCTCTCTTGTAAATGAGTCCTCGTGGCTCAATGGGACGAACCTGTTTAAATAAAGGTTGAATTAATATCTTCTATAGAAATCAATAATTCATCCAGATGATCTGAGGTAAGCTGGAGCAGATCTGATGCTGCATGGAGGACAAGGTGGAGCATTCTCATGCAGCGAACATCAGAAACAGCTTTATAACAGGAGTTACTCTGATCTTTTTTTAACGTGTGTAACGTTATAAAACACTGACATGGCTATATTGATCATTGTATTGCATATACATTATTTTTCTAACAAATATGTGTTTGCAGTCTCGTTTCCTTCTAAAATTTAATGATAAATGCCGCTTCTAAAAATGCTTTGATAAAATGCATAGTCTGTGAAATACGTATATATATATGTCAGAGTCAGAGTTTCTTTATTGTCATTCGCACCTCATGTGGTACATGTGGTGGAGCGAAATTATGTACACGGGGTCCCAGTTACATCCGACAATATGTATATATATATATATATATATATATATATATACACATCTAAATCATCTCTATCATTTTTACTGTAGTTTATCATTGCCATTGTTTACTGTTCTGTCTGGAGCAGGTCTCTTGTAAATGAGTCCTTGTGGCTCCATGAAGCCAACCTGCATAAACCTGTGACAGTAACAAAGAGTGATGACAACAGTGGATAACAAACTGTTTTTCAATTGTAAAACAAACAAACAATAACATTTTTTTTTTAATTTGTATGAATCATTTGTGAATTTTTATTGTTGTTGTTGTTATCAGTGTCTTATTATCTTGTGCTCTGGTCCAGTGTCTTCACGGACGATGTGTGTGAGGGTGGACATGTTTGGAGGTTGCTGTGTTGAAGCTCCATGAATCAGCCTCTCTGCAGCTCTCAGCACCTTCACTGAGCCTTGAGGGAATCACTGAGCTGCTCTTGTTCTTCACAGATAGAAGGTGGGAGCTCTCATCAAATGATGATCTCCAGCATCATCTTGTTCATGCCAGGCTTTTCATCCACTGACCACAGACACCTGGAAACATCAGGGGGACCAGTAGCTGTTTAACACATCTGGAAGGAAACCAGTGAGATTTTAATATGACCATTATGATATGATGTTATGGGGTAGTGGTGGAGCAGAGGTTAGAAGATGGGCCTGTGATGGGAAAGTCACAGGTTCAACTCCCGGTACAGTCAACATCAAAATGTGGGTGGAAAAGGTGAAACACCCACACCTGCCTCCACCCTCATTGGCCCCACTCTGGGCCCCTGAGCAAGGCACTCAACCCCCACCATCTGCTCCTAAACAGGTCTCTCTAGAAAATGAGTTCTCATGACTCAATGAGACATAGGAGCTATGCCGTCGGGGGCAATTATATTTGCCCCTGGTAGAGTCTCCCCAGACAGATTGGTCCTAGGTGACAGGCCAGACAAAGAGCGATTCACAAGACTTTTATGGACAGAAACAAACAAGGAGTTGTGTCCCATGACTGGACGAGAGTTAGCGGGGCCCCACCCTGGAGCCAAGACTCGGGGAGGGGTTCGTCGGTGAGTGTTTGGTGACCAGATCTCTACCCAAGGGGCCTGGCCGGGCTCAGCCTGGACAAGTAACATGGGCTTGCCTTCTTGTGGGTCCACCACCTGCAGGAGAGGCCATATTAGTGCTGGCCCAAGCCTCCATGGGGCCCTAAGAGAAATTTGGTTTGAGACCCTCTGTTGCTGCTAATAATGTGGATTACAGCGACCAGCAGTCAGATGATCAGACCATTCACCCACCTAACAAACACATTGCAACTCTGACAGCCCTGTTGACATTAGTCAGTTTTCTTCACCTGAGCTACATATGCATCTTTAAAACCAGTTGCTCTGTAACTGTAAATCATTACTAAAAATAAAATAATAATAATAAAAAAAATCCCCCTTAGGGGCTCCCAATTGGCCCCCGGGCCCTAAGCAGCTACTTAGTATGCTTATGCCTTGGGCCAGCCCTAAGCCATATGAGTCGGATGCATGACGCCGCCAGTCGGGTTCTGACTCATCGGGTACCTAGAGAATTTTCTGAGGTTGATTGATTGATTCATTCAGTAACGAGGGTAACTTTCCATCAACTGTTTGGCCAGCCTTGCCTTTAAAAACAAATCTGCAACAACAAAGCCAATTTCAAGCTGGCGACAACTATAATCCACACAATAAAAACACAGTAAATTATTTTGACTTCAGGTTTTTTGTCCTTTGGCTGAAAACACATTTTGTAATTCAGTCAATTCATCACATTAACTTAGAAGGTATCAAAGTAAATACAATTACTTAAAAGGAATTCTGCAAACAGTAGTGCACGAGAAAAGTCTGAACTATTTCATTTAACACTTAACCCTTCTTTTTTTAAAAATTAAAATACTTTACTTGTTTGTTGTCTTCAGGCTGTAGCACTAAAACCCACAGCATTGTCACATAAACTATGGTTTCATCCTGTTATGCATTCAACAATAACACGTGACAACTGTCATTCATTGTTAAAATATAGCTTTATTAGTTTCATTACAGACTCGCAGCATTTTGCAGATGATGCCGATGATGAAGTTGTTCTCTGCTCACACACAGTTATGCAAACAATGTAAAGAGACATGTTAATATTAAAAAAGTCATGAACAAAAATGTATTTAAACTGTTTTCGCAGTCATAAAAAAATTAACAGGGATTAAATGTGAAACCCTCTCATGTAAAATGCAGAAACCATGTCAGTCACAACATCAAAAGGAAATGAGGGGAAGGAACAATAGAACTGGCTGATAACACCATTCCCATGTATTTATTCTCATCTGTTTTGATTTTCAGCAGGAACACAAGATTATAACTGAACAGGCTGCACGATGAATAATCAGACAGGTGTTGCAAAAAAAAAGTTATTTTTAATCTGTAAATTGTAATTTCTTAAGATGTTTTGCAAAAACCAAGAAGCAGAGCAATCAGTGAAACAGTCAGAACAGCTAAATGTATCCGCCTGAGACACCTGCAGACGCAGGAACAGCCAAAGCTAAGCAGCAGCAACTTCAGCTCAGTCATGATGAGTCGGAGAGCGCTTCACTTTCCTCAGAACAGAAACTTCTCTATTTGACTTGAACTTAACTAAATGACTTGAATGGAGCTGGAAGTTAGTTGAAGAAAACAATACGCTCAGTAACACACAGCAGTTTGGTCCCACCTCAAGGGAAGTGTGTAAAGATTCAAAGTTTGAACTCAGGATTGAACATAATGGCACTGTTACACGATGTCAATAGATCTGCCTCTGTTTCAGATCTTTACAATCTCTAAAAATTTTTTGGTTTTGGTTAGTTTGGTTAGAGTAAAATTTAAATGAATGTTATAACGCTGCTCTTTAAGCACATGCACTTAGTCCACATTTGATTCATGTGGGTTTTATTGCTAAAGATTTCACTGTCAGCTGTGTTAAGGTTTTGACTTTGATTCTGGCTTCTTCTAACGTCAAAGAATAAAGAAACTTTGATTTTTTTTCCCCCCCTAAACACACACACAACATTCTTCTCACTCAAATATTTGAGAAGCTGTGGAAACAGAAAATGCTCGACGTAGCTCTGCAAAGTCCTGGAAAGCAAAAGCAACTCTTTCAACTTTTTGACTCAGCTGGTGCAGAAAATGAGTTTTCCTCAAACATCAGTTCTTATTTTCAGGTTTTACCAGATTCCCCCCGCAGCAGACAGGAGCAGACTACAGTGTGTGTGTTTATAATACTGATATGATTAATTCTGGCAGATCTGTGGGAACTCCTTGAAGATCTGCTGTACAATTAGCTTATCCATCTGTTTGGCTGTGGTGTTCCCTTCGTCCTCGCCTGGGTCTTCCTCCTCCCCGAGGATCCTCTTTAGTGACCCCTGCAGGTCCGACAGGCGGTGCTGGTGCTCGAGGTAGTCTGTCGAGCGCATAATGGAGTGCATGAGGGAGAGATACTCCATCCGCAGCTTCACAGGGTGGAAACGAGAGCAGTTGTTATTACAGATACTCTTCAAGACGTGATAAAAGTTGGAAAGAGCTGTCACATTTCTGTAAGAAACAAAGCAGCATCATAAAAACCCACAGAACGAGCAGCGTGTCACATCCTCACCTTATCTCCAGGCGACAGGTCGGATATTTGTCGAACTGCGATGTCGATCATCACCATCATGTCCGTGCGGTAGAAGATGTCCGCCGTCTCTCGACTGGCGAAAACATCCTGCAGAAACTTGAGCACAGAGTGCGGCGCAGGTGGGGTGTGTTTGAACATGCAAACAGGATCCTCTTGGGTAGCGGGATGGCAAAGCCAGAACAACAAAAATGAGTACAAGCAAAATATATAAATAAAAAGCATGAAACAAGTTTTTATTTTACCTCCTCTGTTCAGGAGCAGCAGAACTTTCTCTGTCAGGACTTTGACGTTTTTCTGCTTCAGCTGCTGCATGATCACATTGTTGCTGGGTGCTGCTTGACACAGACATGTAGAACAAAGCGGGATTCAGGAAAGAAGTATTTTAATGCATTAAAACACAAAACTAGTACAGGGAAAACAGTTATAATCTGTCACAGCATGAAGGATTTTGCATACCGTATTTTCTGCCCTATAAGTTGCAGTTTTTTGCATAATTTACATGCCCTGCGCCTTATACACCGCAGCAACTTATTTATGGATTTTTGTTTATACATGTTTATAAACCAATTTTTGACTGAGATATGACCGCTGTCATTCATTCTGACTGAAAATATTGAACACTACCATTTTCAGCCGCTAGATGGCACTCGAGTTGTATAGCATACCGTTGTGTCACGTAATAGGTAAAAGTGGCCATTAATGACACAATCGGCTTGCCAAAGACTGCCACCGTCGTCCAGCTCAGGGATCATGTTTGAAGCAAATGTCAAATCAGCTTCATTTCACTGCGCCACTCAGGCGAAAAGCAGCTGATTTGGTATGGTATGGTATAAAGTTTATTCATTTAAAAAAAGTACAAAACAATTCCATAACAATATAAAAAGATACAAGAGATTTAAAATGAAAGGCAACAGAAAGAAGAAAAAATCTCATTATATCTGCCCCTTTTTTCAAACAATTATTTCAATCATAATAATTTTCAAGTAATTTGACCACTGAAGTGCATTTATTAAAGAAAAGTTCAACTGAGACACACCTTTACTATAATGTCGAGCAAACAAATAATTGTTCATAGGTGGTTATCTTGTTAAATTTCGAAGAAATGCACAGCGAGTCGTCCCTCTGCGCGCTCCCACTTACGCAAAGTGGCTTTTGAAATGCAGCTGATTTGATCGTCAAACTGCATTTATTAAGGAGAAATTAGACTGAGACACACCTTTGCTATAATTTCGAGCAAACAAATAATTGTTTTTAAGTGTTAATCTTGTTAAATTCTTGTTCAAGTCCTCCCGTGCACGCCACCGCGGCCGCCATTTGGCAGCCAGTCGATTTTTTGCACAACACCAGCCCACATTTCTGAGTTGTCATAGATGAGACTTATACGGCAGAAAATACGGTAAATCTTTCTGAGAAAGATGGTAATTGGGGCTTTCTCACCAGTGTGGTGCAGGTTAAAGGCCAGCAGGAGGTTCAGGAAAATGTCAGGCAGCTGCTCTGTGGGATCAGAAGAAAGCCCGTCCTCCAACACTCTCAACAGAAACCCAACAAAGTCGGCGTTCAGGTGTTCTGAAAGGGAGACGGTTAGACATGCAGCTGCTGTTTAACTTCCTGCTCGGGTCTTATTAAACCCCACAGATCAACTTCCTGCAGGATGCAGCCTCTCAGTGACGGACACAAAGCTCTGAGTTAAGGGAAACACAAAGTTTGCTGTTCAAGAATGAGACATAAGTGAAACTCTGAGTCTTCATCCATGGTGACAGACTCCAAACTAGCCCTGCTTCCTGGCAAGTTTACTGAAAAAATAAAAAAAAAGAGCTGAGCTGTGAGATCATCACATGCATCTCCATTCCAACCGCTCTGTATTCCTGCGTACATTGTAAGTACTTAATATACCTGGCGTTGAGAAATCATTTCAATGAACACCTTTTCCCAGAATGCCTCCATTCTGCCACGGTGAACAGAGTTATCAGCTCTATTAGCGACGGCTATTTGCTGCGCACGTGCATGCTCTTAACTCAGGGGTCTGCAACCTGCGGCTCTGGGGCCACATGTGGCTCTTTGGTTCCTCTGCAGCGGCTCGTTCAGGCTTTGACCAAAACTAAAATAAAAACGAATTTTATTTAAATTATTACCAACAATGAAAACGGATAGTTTTAGCAGATTTCCTGTCATTTTCAACTGTGAAGAATAGTACAAATACAAGGAAAACACATGGACTACAGCATGATGGTAGTTTGTTAGCCACTTTGTCAGCTTCCAGTCTCACCACGGGATCTTTCTCTCAAAACCACCAGAATGTTTTGGAATATCTTTAAGACACGCTGCTGAGGAGGAATATGGTGAGTAACTTTGAAAACACTAAGATTAAAACACAAAAAACAAAGTTAAAGTAAACTAAAGTATTTATTTTTCTTTAAAAATGTAACTGGATATTCAACAAACTGGCCTAATTTTATACTGTCTTTAACTTTGTGCTTTAAGTAGGATACTTAATTATTCAAAAATTATGAAAACTCACATCGACCTGCAGAGTTCAGTGTTTTAATTTTATAAAATGGTTAAGAATTGTATATTTTTTCTTTCTTTGCATGAATTTGGCCTTTTATTTTATATTAAAATGTAAAAATATCAATAAATCTTAATAATAAGACATTTTTCATTTTATAATATCACCCCCACTGGCCGGAAAAGCCATCTCCAAAAAACTTGTAGTGGTCCATGAGCCACCAGTTGACAGTACACAGTTGTAGCAGGTTTTGCAACTCTGGACACATCGGAATTAAGCAAAGTGGGAACAAATGTCTCTTTTTTTTATCACAAAGGCTGCAGAACCCTGTCTTAACTCAAAGTTAAGATATTCTGGGTTGATTAATCTTCTTGTAATCAGCTGTTTGGTAACCAAAAACTCAGAGTATCCCTGCTCAGGGTCAGATAACTCAGGGTTTACAGATTCAGCATTTATTAAACCTCCTTTCTGAAATTCCACACAGCTCACCAACGTTATCATTGACTGCGATTAAAATGTGTCACAACCCAGCAGGAGATTTATAAACTGTAAAAATGTTCATCGTACCGTAGTGATGATATGGCACCTGCTCGCCCATGGAGAAAATCATAGTCAGAACTAAAGCTGTGTAACACATTTTCTGGTGTTCTGGTGGAAAAAAAAACACAAAAACAATAAGACAGAATAAAAATATTAACAGTGCAAAAGATTAAAAAATAGTTTTCTTAACACAGAGATCTGCCAGCAACATTTTAAAGAAAGTTTGGTACAAGGGCAACCAAAAACTGATGGTGTCCTGTTGTTTGTTCAGAAAATAATTCACTTCTGGCTCAAAAATAAAACCGTGGTGACGACTCAATTTGGAGCATGGAGCTAAAAAAAAAGGGGCGTTTATTAACAAACGAGTGATGCAATTTCTCCCATGTTTTTTTTTTTTAAAGCAAATCACGGATGAGACTATAAAAAGCAATCACCCTGTGCGTCTGTTTGAAGGTCCCGGGCCAGCTCCATGGGCAAGATGGAGTTCAGGAGGGTGGAGACGAGCGCAGCGTCCAGGCTGCACATCGCCCCAAACACTTTGAGCAACAGCAGCCGCAAAGAAACACGAAGTTCCTGCACAAAGTCAGCCTCTTTAATCACGAAAACACACTTCAAACATGCAATAACACAAAGTTAATTTCAACGAACAAACTCGGCACTTCAGAAAAGGAAAATTCTCATTCAAAAAAACAAAAAACGTATTTTCAGTTACAGGTGTATGACAGCGACTGACGCGTGGCTCAGATTTATGCTCACACAGTTTGAAACAAATATTACATCTTACCATCTGATAGTATGAAACCAGGGACAGAACATTCTCATAGTGGTTGAACTTGCACATCCTCTTGCACACCTCTGGATCTGCATCAGTCTGAAAAAACAAACAGGAGTAATAAATTAATCGCTATAACTGTGCAGCTTCATCATCCAGGAGGCTGTACGTTACAGGGAGTGAACCTGCACAAGATCAACTGTTTTACACCTGATGCCCTATCTGATGCAACCTGGGCTCAAACCTACATCCTCAGGATTATGAGGCTGCAACACTGACCGCCAAGCTACCACGACCAGCATTAACATTCATCACCATGGTTCAAAAAGACATCACCTAAAATCATCTTTGCTTAAAGTATCTGCCGTCTTGAAACATGTTCACTCTAAATCAGCTGTGATCGAGAGTGGAATTAAAAATTGTTCCAGTAGTTCATGAGATATTTTGCTAACAGACACACAAAAAAAAAATCACAAACACAAGCAACTTGTGTGTATGTTTGGGTGGCCAATGCTTATTGCTTGTCGTAACACAAAAGGTTTACAGTAGTCCCTCGCTAATCCGCGGTTCGTTTGTCGCGGACTCGCTCTATCGCGGTTTTTCAAAATAAGATTGGACACGACACACTGATTGATGGATGAGCCGCACGATCGGCATGGAATTTTTATTTAAAAAAAAACGTTTTAAATTATTTAGCGCCTGCTGCATCTTTGGGCAGCCCACGCTGCAGGATAAGCTTTCTGCTGCAGCTGATCAGCTGATCTCCGTGCAGAGCGGAGAAGTGGGCGTGGCCAAGAGCGATCGCAGGTGGCAAAGAGCAGTCGAGGCAGGGAGCTGAAATCATGACATTCTGTGCTCTTTTAGAGCTTTAGAGTTTAGAAACATTGTTTAGAATATTGAAAGAGTTTGGGAAGGGTTAAAAAAAAAAAAAAAAAAAAAAAAATATATATATATATATATATATATATACACTAAAATAAACTACTACTTACTACTTGTACTACTATTCCTACTTTGCGGTTTTTCACTTCAGGGTACGGATCCCCCACGATAAATAAGGGACTACTGTAACTCAGTCACTTTTTGCAACATTTTTGTTTAAAACCTTGGCATGAAAGACAGCGGGTGATATGCATTCCATTAAAAAAGTACTTTTTAAACGAGTAATCTGATTACCAGAATCTTCAGCAGCTCCTCGAGGTAACAGGCGATGACAGCGTGGTCTTCGTGGAGCGCCCAGCTGCGCTGCTGGGAGTCGTCGCGGTGGCGGGCGAGGTCGTTGAAGATGACCTCCAGCCGCTGCTCGTCGTGACACACCTGACCCCGCGGCAGAGCTGCGCTGGAGTCCTGCGCACATCGAAAAACATTGTCAAAGTACTTTATTACAGCCCCAAATACAAAAGATACATACACACGTTTGTATTTCAAATATATTTTGGACGTGTAGATGAGAATGTTGGGCTGTAGCTCAAAGGTTAGGTTGATCCTTCAATGAATTTACAAGATTTGTACACTTTTAAGTCATTTTTGCCTCTTGTTTGGTGAGTGTGATTAAAATGTATGCATAAGATTTATTTGTTGTAAAGAGTTGAGCTCCAAGGGATGAAACGAGACTCACTTCAGTTTATTTTCACCTCTTGAGGACTATAATGTTTAGGTTAAAACCCTGAATATGCAAACAACTACACCACACAATGACTGCTGGATATGAGCACCAGTGAACCCCAGTGACCTGACAAGGAAGAAGCAGGTAAAGATATTGGATGGATGGATGGATGGATGGATGGAACAGATTAACTTTTAGAGACAACCCAATTCAAGATGGCGGCCACAGTTAAGCAATTGTAGCCAACACAAACACAGCTGCAACTCAGCCACTTTTACAGATACTGAGCTGAAGTATGATGTGTAGCCGAGAGTCACCCCCAACACATAGTCTGATTGACATCTCGCAATATTCTGAGACGCTTTGACCAAACGCACCATAAAGTCGTCATTTCTCATCACGAGAGTCTCAAACTCTGGCACAACAGGCGATATGAATTCCTACAAAAGATGCTAGGCCTTTAAATCTCTTTGTTGAGAGCTCACAAGCAAAAAACACGACAAGTGTGTCCAAACCTGGTGAGCTACAGCTGAGGAAACCGAGGGTGCCTTCTTCTGGTTTCAGACATTTAGATGCAACTAAATGAGGGCGGTCGTGACGTGCACACGTGTCACTATAAATAAATGTTGAGGTTTTTGTCTTCAGTTCCTCTTCTCATGTCAAACAGGATGTGATACTACAAAGTAAAAAAAAAAAAAGTGTTTCAGAACGATGTGCGTGAACTTCAGGGCCTCACCTTGCTCTCCACCAGTGAAAGGAGAACCCGCTCCAGATCTGAGGAGGCTCGAGGTAGAGCGGTCTGCAGGTGGCCCACCACCACGCCCACCGCCACCCGGGACAGCTCGTAACTCAAGCCCGTGTTCTTCCGAACCAGCTCGATCAGCTCAGCTCCGACAGTCATGGGGACCGGCTCTGACGAGGAGGGGCTGCCAGGAGGGTTGTCTTCTGCAATAGACAGAGGGGCGAGGGGCCATTCGGTCTGTGGGGGCTCCTCCACAGCCAGCTGGACAGGAGTGGTGCTCTCAGTGGGTTTGGTGGGCCGCGGTGGCAGCGGCGCGGGGCTTTTCTTCCCAGGAGCTGGACAGACAGAAGGCGTGACATCTGCAGGTGGGGCGGGGGGCTTCACGCGGGATGGGACAGGAGGAGGGGGGGTGCTGGAAACACTTGGCAGACTGACGTCAGAGGAGGACTCTATGGAGGTGTTGCTGATCGTCAAGGAGGGAGCAGGAGACTCAGGCAGGGAGGACACTCTGGAGGGCACCTCAGGCTCTGCAGAGAGAGGGGGGGGGGGGGTCTGGTTACAGAGAGCTGAAAGTGAAGGGGGTGACCTGACTAAGAATAGAGTGTTTGAAGTGAAAGAACTGCAGCAAGAAGCAGAAACACAGCACCGCTGAGGGGGATGGAGGGGGGGGGGGAGTTAAAGTGGTACTAACCTGGCCGACGGAGGCTTCTCTGTTTTTCAGGGGGAGGGGGGGTGATCGGAGCAGCGCGTCGAGGCTGGGGGGGCGCCTGCAGGAGGTTACAGACACAAAACTGGCTTATCAGACCTGCACACAACATGAGTTTACAGAACTGCAGCAGGAAAAACAAACAAACAAACAAACTTTACTTTTATTAAAAACCTGTCTGCAAACTGTTTGCTGCGACCAAAGGAACTTTGATCTATTAAATCATTAAAATAAAATAAAAACTCCATCTAATCATCGTTGAATCCATGGTATTGTTTATGTGCTAATTTATTATTATTTTTTTAATAAATCCAGTTTCATTTTGCCGGTTTGACGTTTTGCCAGATCCACACTGTGAGAAAATATTTTCATCTAATGATCTGCTCGACTGAAGAAAACAGTTCAAAGTTAGAAAATTAACCAGATAAGATTTCTTGAAGGAATCACCCGCTGAATTCTAACGCATCCAGTTTTACTTCAGTATCTGTAAAACTGACCGAGTCAATAAAATAAACAAATTAAAAAAGGTAACCGATCATTATAAACTATGGTTTATGATTTTAATCGCTGGATGTCCGGCCCCCTGAGCAGTTTTCTTCAATAGCCCTGATTTAAGGTAAAAAGTGCATTAATTAAATCTAAAACTAATGGTTTTCTGTGTGGATGATGAAGTTTTATAAACTTATATTAGTTTAAATCTCTTACTTCTCATTTTAGCTTCTTTTTTTTTAACCTCCAGAATATACGAACCTCAGTTTTTCTTCTTCACGTGTGCAAAAGTTTTAATCCAGCACTGCTTTATTTCCTTTAACTATGGCGACTTTTTTCACACACAGTCAGTCCCGTTCTTGTACCTGACCATGACAGGACATTTGTTTACAACGTCAGGAAAACGGACGAGTGGCAAACACTTTGGGACACATTTGCCTCCAGTAATGCACAACCTTGACATTCAGCAAACCAACATGTTAAGACAGCAGTATAACATTGTGCCAACACTTTGAAGCCTTTTCCTATTCCAACATGGCTGCACCCGAGTGGACAAAACAAGGACTGTAAAGACTTGAGTTCAGTGGAAGATGGGCCCTGACCTCAGCCCCGTCAAGAACCTCTGGGATGACCTGGAACAAAGACAGACCCTCTCGTTCAACATCAGCGCCTGAACTCATGAATGCTCCACAGAAACAATCTGGACTCTTGTGAAAAGCCTTCCAAGAAAAGTGGAAGCTGTTGTTAATGCACAAAGGGGGACCAACTCCATCCAGTCCCTGCTGGTGTGACAAACAGGAGAGGAATCCTAATACGTCTATTATATTATACTATAGCCAGTTTGCAACACACATTGTCAATTAGAACAAAAAAGTCCATTTGTCAACAGAACACCTAAGAAAATGTAAAACTAGCCTAGTCCAGATTTAACAGCCTAATAGAGAGAATAAAGGAGGAACCGATAAGCAGAAAGTAACTTTGACCTGAAGGCGTGACAGAAATTATTCCCTTTAAGAGAATGTGGTTCTGCTGGAACTCTCCTTGCCTTCTCAGTCACTGGTTTCTTCTGAGGAACACCAATAACCTTGGAGAACAAGTTTGCAACAATGCCAAAGTGACTCTTTTTCTTAAACCAGGAGATAAAAAGAAAAGAGGATTTTTTAAAAAATGGCAGAAAGTTACACAAAAAAGCATCATTGACATAAAAAGAGCCATGCCTCTGCAGCTGACTCAGTTCAACGCCCAGATCCGTGTTTTCATCAGATTCCAACAGAGTTGAACACAGCGCCAAGATATCTGTCCACAAATTCATCCTTCCCATCATGAATGAAGCTAACTGTTGCTTTGTACTTAGTCTGCCTAAAATCAACGATTAGTTCCTTTGTCTTTGACACGTTAAAATCCGCTGCCATCGCTAGGCCTGTCGCGATAAACAATAAATCAATTAATCGCACGATAAATGAAAATTATCAACCTCGTTTTCATTTATCGACTTTATCGTTTCTTCGTGTCTCTCTCTTTCTACTGAAGACACTGGATGACAACAACTCTGCTGCTCTTCACTGACCCCTCCCTTTCTCTTTTCTCTTTAAAATCTGTTTTAACCGTCCAAAATTTAGTTTTTGGATCGTTAAAAGCAACTAAGCTGAGAAGCTAAGCTAGGAGCTAAGCTAACAGGCCGACCTCGGGGAAAAAAAACCTCCGTCTTGTCGAAGCTCCAAAATTCACGGTTGAAACCCGTGCCTTCGTCTAAAAAGTTGTTTTTCTCTGCAAAAAGAATTTGAGAATTTGTTTACTGATTTAAAAAAAAAATTAAAATCTTTGTGTGAAATGCGATGCTAAAGAGCTCAAACCACATCGAGCGTCTGCCATTTTGAGAACCAAAAAAAAGGAAAGAGAGACAGGAGAGACAGCCCATGTCATGTCAAGGGGCCTCCCTCCCATTTTTCTTAAAGAGACACGTTGCTCGCTCCCTCACTATCCATCCTTCGGTTCAAACAGTCTTATTCCGCCATCTGGTGGTCAAAGAAAGGTACTACATACAAAACAAATTAAACATTTCTTCTTAAATTTGACAATAATTACTAATTATTGTCAAATTTCAAACAATATTATCGTTTATCGCAATAATTTCTGAGACAATTAATCGCCCTGCAAAAATTGTTATCGCGACAGGCCTAGCCATCGCACCATTTTACAAAATCAAGTAAGGTGATCTCGTGATCAGAGTCTGAGCCCTGAAGAAGGAACAAGAGGGCTGGGTGATCTGAAAACTTAACGCACCTGCCTCCCTGAGATGTTCTGCAGCTGGCTGTGCACATTTTAAAACCCAGTGAGACAGGACACATACGAACAAACTATAGCTCTTTGAGAATCACCTTGTCACTGCTAAAATACGACTTTGTTTTCTTTGGTATTCTTCATCAATACAGCTAAAGAAATTGAAAGCGATCTTGTCTCGGTGACACACTGCGGCTAACAGAAGTGCTTAAGGATCCTTGTAAAAACCCAGTTCTTTGTCCGTTATGTGTCGACACAACTCCGGATTATCTCTGAGTTTATTTATTTTTTTTGTGTTGGAATGATTCCCAGAGACAAGAGGCTTAACAGATAAAACAAAATCCTCTGAAAATGCTCGAGTACTGAAGTGAAAATTAGTGAAAAGGCACCGAAGTTTAAAAAAAAAAAAAAAAAAACATTATAAACCACAGGTTATTGCGCAAGATCTCAATTTTAAAAAGTCTGGCTGCTTGGAGCAAGAGATTAAAAATGACGGATTATTTTCGTTTTGGATTAGTATAAAACCCTTGTTCTGATTGTTGGACAGTGAGCAAACCTTTCACCACAGTGATCACGGATCCATCTGATGTGAATGTCCGACCCACAGAACCACACCTGGACACGACTGAGTGTGAAGTACCTGATAAAAGCCCTGCTCTCCCTGCATGTTGTCCACGCTCCCTGATAACGGCACGCTGCCCTGCCGTCCGTAGTCTCGACTGACGCCGTTGGGCGGCGGAGGAGTTTGGCTGAGAGAGATGTCGCTGCTGGAAGTTGGGAGGCCTTGTTTGTGTCCGACGGCGGGGGAACTTCGCCGAGCGAGAGTTTCCTTTCTGTGATGGATCAGCTTTCTGCGTCGCAAAGAAAAAACAAAAAAACATGCGGCACGAACAACGTCAGACAACATCAGAGGATCCCTCACGCTTCTAAAACAATCACTGTGACTCACTGTAGAACATCTCGCTGCTCAAGGTTGTATTTGCCCCCGTTCTTTAAGGCCACATTGTGGATTCCCTCTATTGCTCGATCGATGGACTGCAGCACCTCGTCTTGCTCCGGAGCCTGGGCACAGATGCAAAAAGACATAAAAAAAATGATGATTAAAGACGTTAAATATTCATTTGCAATAAGCAGGTCATGGCTTTGGGACGTGTGTGACCCGAGGCTGAAACAAACTAGGACACTTATCTAACTAGAAGCTGAGCAAAGCCTCGTTAGAGCTGATTGCATTCCTCTTCTGACACTTCATAAACTCATTCAAACACACAACATGCAAGCTCCGACTAGTCCTGCATCCCAGGGAGGGAGGAACCCCCTTCTAGCTGAGCTCATGAAGGAGTGACTCAAAGCTGGTGCAGGAAAAAAACAAAGCTTTCTCTCTTGTCTTCTCCTTCAATCTGCTGTCTCGAACATTTTCTGTTTCCTTACCACCCCCTCATTTCTTGTCTCCTCTCTGCAGCTGCAGTGCAGATAATCCCTGCACCACATTCCCAATAATTTATGATCTCCTATGCAAAAGCATCTTCCACCTGAGCATGCAGCCTCCTCTGGGCCTGCACACCATGTCTCTGCGTTTACAACGGGGCTTCATTTCACCCAAGCAGACAAAGCCTCGCGTCTGGTTGTCGTGGAGCTGCAAATACGAGAGCCACGGGGTTACAAATGTGTGACTTGCCTGTATTTTCTCGATGTAGGAGGCAGGGATGTAGCCGGTCTCCCCGGAGCTGCTGCGGGACCCCAGCCACCAGTGTTTGTTGCTCCTCTCCAGGATCAGAAAGCTTTCTCCGGCCGAGAAGTGCAGCGAGTTGGGCTCCGTGGACCGGAAGGCGTATAGAGACCGGTACATGCTTTAATGATAGTTCGACGCACCTTAAAACCAGGCAAATAAATGATTTTTAAAGAACAGAACCCGAGTGGAAGAATCTGCTCTGCTGGGGTGTTTAAAGAGCCCATGAAGGCATGGCTACAGCCCGAGCCGCTGATGTCTATTTACAATCGGATCATCTGACCTGGCTGTTCCCAGGACTCACCACACGAGGCGCTGTCACACAGAAACGCGCTGTCATATCCTGGACACGCCCACCAGACATTTTAATCAAACTCAGAGCTGATCCCAGATTGGTTTACAAACTGCGGCTCTGGGGCGACATGCGGTCCCCCTCTGTGAAGACGTACCTCCACCAATATTTCTGTCTTTGTGCAACAATGTGAATAAAACTTGATGCAATCTGCTGGCTCCTTAGATAAACATTGTTATTAAGTGATTGTTATGTATGTGAATGTTTCTGTGCAGTGCCCTGAGACGACTTCTGTTGTGAGTTGGCGCTACACATAAACTGAATTAAACTGAATTGAAAAGCTCGGTGATAAAAATTGAAGAGTGACGTCATCAAGAAAAAATACAACTTAATATTTACCCCCCCAAATAAAAAAAAATAAAATAAATACAGGCCAAGACTAGAATTAATCATAGAAACAAAACAAAAAGAAAAACAGGAACAGGTGTCAAGTTTGGTCTTTTTTTTTTTTTACTTTAAGCTAGTGTTTTGCCACTTTTAGCTTCTAGTTTCCATGTTGCTTCTTTTCACGAGTATTATGCTCCTTTTAGTAAGCCTTTCACTACTTTTAACTTCCATCTATTGTTTTGATACTTTTGTCTAGCATTCTGACGTCATCTGTGGAAATGAAACTAAACATACAGGCCTACCTGGAGATGAAAAAAACAAAAAAACTAGTCAGTGTCATGTTTAGCTGGTTTTAATTTTTGGTTAGTCTTTTGCTACTTTTAGGTTCTCTAGTTGTAAGACTTTTTCATTTGTTATCACTTTTAAACTGCTTCATGATTTCTGTACTTCTATGCATACAAAGCAAAAAGTTTCTGGAACTATCAGGATTTCTCTTGTACCCAACACTAGTATTGTTTAGCTGCTTTTAGCTTTTATTTAGTTACTTTAAGCCATTTTGCTACTTTAAATTTTTGTTTTGTAACTTGTAGCTACGTTCTGCTATGAAGTCCTTAAGAAAAATGAAGCAGTGTCCCCACTTTAAAGAGTTGCATAAAAATGTTTCTACAGATCAGGCTAAATGTAAAACTCACTCTGTTCATTTGTCAGATTGTGATGCTGCATGTTGTATAAGCTTATTCATAATCCATCACCCTTTGGGCAAATATAAACAATGAATAAAACTATAGTTTTCGATCAAAGAGCAAATCAGCAGGCAAGCGTGGTGCTCTTCCATAGAGAAGAAAGAATGGAGAATAACCAGTTCCCTCATGTCTCGTTCAGTCGTACACATGGACTATGTGAGGGTCTTTCCACTCTGCTTTTTGCTCCTCTGGCAGAGTTCGCAGCATCTGCAGAAGTGTCCTGTTCAGCTGCTCAACAGGATTTCCCTGTGGGTGATAGGGAGTGTTTCGAGTTGATAATTCCATCCAGCTGCTGCTAAGAGTCTCTGGCATAGGTTGTTCTCGAATTCCCGCCCCTGATCATGATGTAGCTTTTCAGGGTACCCAAAGCGTGGAATAAAGTCAAAGATCTTTTCAGCTGACTTGTTCTTGGTTGGGTAGGCCTGTGCAAAGTGAGTAAAGTGGTATAGAATAAGATGTATTCAGCCACCTTTACTTGGTTAAAGATGGAGATAGTCAACGGAGATAAGTTCAAAAGGGGCACTGGTCGTTATATAACCCATTGGTGTTCTGGAATACTTTACAGTTTCTGTTTAACACATTGGCGAATGACATAGTCTTCAATTTCATGCGGCATAAAGGGCCATTAAAAATCTTTCTCAAGCCAAATTTATGACGTTGTCGGCACCATGCAGGTGTTCCAGCACAGTCTTCAGTTTACTGGGGAGAAACAACTGTTTCCATTGTCCTGCCTGCCGATATAGTGATCCCTTGTCAAGCCTGTTCCATTCATGCACTAGTCTGCATGTCTCTCGTCCCATTTGTCTCTGTTCGTTGTCATTTGGTTTCCATCCTCACCTCACACATGGGAGCATCTTCCTATTGAGTTGATTGAACACTTTCTGTTTAAATAATTTGAAATAATATATCACAAATTAAACACATTTTGTTAAGTATTACTTTTGTTATGAACAAAAAGGCCAGTGACCCTGTATTACACAGAGATAAATCTTGAGGCAAAAAAATGTATATATTTTTAACTTGTTTTTTTTCCACATGTACAAACAGAAAACCGTCATAGTGGATTTAGTTTTAAATTAAATATTTTTTTTAAGTGGTAGAAGCTTTTAGCACACAGACAAAACACATTATTAGGTACATACTGTGCAAAGCGTGAAAGTTGGGTAGAAAGAGGAGTTAAAAACTGTAAATCCTTAACTTTTCACAAAAATTAAAATGTATACAGTTTGAAAGGCAGAGCTTTGAGACTGAAAATATGTTGGTGGCGCAGTTGGTGGAGCTGTTGCCTTTCAGCAAAAAGTTTAGCAAACAGGGTATGACTGACAGATGAGAAGTAGAAAAATGTTCGATTGTGTTCTGCTCTACACCGGAAACAGATGGCTGGTGTCACAGAGAATTCTGTCCCCCTTGGTGTCACGGTCTCAACATGGCTTCTGCGGCACGCAGATTATTATTTCAGAGGTCGACTGCGGGATTTTTGTTTTCTTCTAGGGCAAAACCCGCTATCTCAAGGTATTTTTGCGTTTTTATTAAAACATTGAGTATTTATTAATTATAAATATGTAATAAGTCTGTTAAAAAACCATATCTCCCGCTTTGTGTGATATTTAAATGACTTGTTTTTGTGCGGTATGAAAATCGGTTTCACACACGTTTGTTTTACAAATTATTAATTTTGAAGCAGATTTTTTTTATTTTTAAACAGTATTAGTTTCGTACCGTTTACGTAATTGATATATTTTTCTCTTTCATTATTTTTCTGCTACTCCCGATTAGCCTTAATTTGTTCATAAAACTCCATAGCATAAAACTTTACATGTTGGCTGTTTCAAGAAACAGCATAACTTCAGACACTTTTATTTACCATAATCAAATCTCAACACTGAGTAAACTGTAAACTACACTAAGTACAACATGTTTATACAAGCTTTTTAGACGTGATTCAGTTACATTGTTTTTATAATCCATCTCTGTAAGCTGAAAAGAGCAAAATTGTTTTCTGAAATAAAGGAAAACCTTCTCAGCAAAAGTCTCACCGTAGTTTTAAAATAAGTTGTCAGAATTGAGACGTCACATAAAAACAGCTGATGTAAGTCAATGTGTGGAGGAAGTGGTGCTTTGTGTTGCATAGCCTTAATTTACTGATAATAATAATCAACAATAATTTTTGTTAGTCTAGTTTTTCTGGATCTGTTTATTAATAGATTGAGAAACATTATATATATATATATTTATATTTATCTATATATAAAAAAAATCCAATATAAATATACAAATAAAAATTAATATTGATTATTATATTCTATTTTTTGTTTTATTTTGTTTTGTGT